CAGTTTAATAGAACAAAGTGTTCTTGCATTGAGGGAGTACTTGAGTGGAGGCCCAATGTCCATCTGCTACCTTATTACTAAACCTATAAATATATGCAATAGATCTATTTCCCCATGGTCATATATAAATATGTTTACATATGCACATGCCTGTATTTAGATGTCTGAATCAGTCGGATGCCCTGTCAAAATCCTCCTTACGGTATGTATAAGAGCAGTCCCAGCTTCAAGTGGTGCATATCTATTTTCCATAGTGCCCTCTACTCACACTCAATCGATAAGTGACCAAATTTAGACAGAAAAAAGGCCGGATGCAGGTGGTGCTCACAGAGACCGGGTCACCAGCAGCACACCCTGCATGTGAACTGGCGCGGGCATTCTCACCTGCCGGGAGCACTTCGTTTCACGCAGGGCCTTCAGGCTTCCGTTCCAGTGCAAGAGCTGGAAAATGGTCATCAGCTCCTGCGAAACCAAACACCTGTCATGGTCTCGAAAGCAGAAATGTGACGCAAAGACCCTCGGGGAGAACTGAGGAGGGCGAAACGCTGATCCTCAGAGCCCCCTGGGAAACAGAAAATGACAGCACGGTCAGAACCCTCTAGAACTTTTTAAAGACTGGCGTTCCCAGGCTTCTGGAGCATTCTCCCTCCCTTCCCTGCTGTATTTGCCTTTGCACAATGAAATGGCTAAATAGTAAAATGACAGCCATGCACAGCTTTGGAATCCCAAGGCTCTGACCTTCTCTTGCCCTAAAACTCACTGCCATTGAATCAATTCTGACTCATAGTGACCCTATCGGACACGGCAGCACTGACCCTGTGGGGTTCTAAGACTATATCTTTAAGGGGTAGAAAGCCTCATCTTTCTCTCTAAGATAAGTTGGTGGTTTCGAACTACTGACCTTGGAATTAGCCACCAATGCCCAACCCACAATGCCACCAGGGCTCCTCTGGCACTAGAATAAGGTCAATAAAGACTGTGTGCAACTCTTACAACTTACATACAGATTCAAGTGGAAAACACACACAGCCAAAGGCCTCGTGTGGAACCCAAAGCGCCTATAATTAACTTTCTGGTCATAAAAGTAATTACAAACCCTTAAGTTTTGGATAAATTTCCTATGCACATTCCAAAAACCTAGCTTCTATTTCATTAACTGTCCTGTGTCTCATTGACCAGGAAAAAAACAAACAATGGTTATGAAACACATAATGACTCTAATCGAAGTCCAGACATCGTACTCTTACTTGGTAGGATTTCTAATGATAAGGATGCCAGTAAAGTAAATTAGACTGCACTGTCTCATGTCAAAAGCTGCCAAGAGAATCTAATGCTTTCTTCTTTTCTTCTGAGATCCAGTTGGGGATGCCTGCCTCAGTTTCCCTGTATAAGCTCTCCAGGGGCTCACAGGAGCCTCAGTAAAAGCAAAAGCACTGATTTCCATGAACTCAGACACTATGAATACCGGCTGATCTCTCCCAGCACACACACACACCCTGCCCCCACCCCCAATGTGGAGACCCAACACCTTCTCCCAATACCCTGTCTCCGCCACTTCCTCCTCTCCCCATCCAGAATCTCATCGTCACATCCACAGGATGACTTGGGAGCCTGGGCCTGGTTTGCTCCATAAACCAAATGCTCTTCTCACTGGGGACTTCTCTATCTGGCCCCCGGGCAGAGGGAGGGGAATCGGTTCTGCAGCCCCGTCGCATTCTGAGTCCGGTCAACCCCGTGCTCAGCATCCCATGGGGGTTTATGGCCGCGAGCTTCCCGAAGCAGATCGCTAGGCTTTCCCTCTGGGCTGAAACCACCCATTGTTCTGGTAGCGCTCCAGCGTTTCACCATATGGGCCACGCAGGGACTTCCACCAAACACTGGTGGTGGTGGTGGTGGTGGTTGAGTCGGTTCTGATGTATAGCAGCCCTGTATGTATAATTCAGACTCAAACCCCGCCCAGTCCTGCGCCATCCCCACAATTGTTGTTTGGGTCCTTTGCTGCCAGCTTCTGTCCACCCGTCTGGTGGAAGGCCTTCCTCTTTTTCGCTGCCCTTCAGCTTTACCTCTTCCAGGGACTGGTCTCTCCTGATGGCCTGTCCAAAGTATGTGCCACAAGTGTTTCCACCCTTGCACTACACGTAACTCACCCAGTACTTTGCATTTATTAAATCGAGTAGCAAGGCCCTTACTCTACTGGTGTGGAAGCAGTTTCTCAATGTGTGAGAGGGGGGCAAATATTTGCAAATAAGAACTGGCTTTTAGTTTGTTTTATGTTAAGAATGCATTTGAATTTTGTGTTCCATTTTTAAAAAGTAGGAAAGGGAACAGAATACTATGATTCCCATTTCTTTACCTGATTCTCCCCAATAACATTGACAACCTAAGAAGATAAAGCCGGGTTTATTCTATGGTTTTCAATAATTCTCCTGGGCCTTTCCCTCGACGCCATGTAGTCCAGTGTGAGAAACAGCATATCCTAAGCAATTGTCATTCCTTCGGAAGCCTCACTGCATTGACCCAGAGCAGAGCTGCTCCTTTGTTTTCTGAGGCTGTACATCTCTGTGGGGGCAGGAAGCCTCGACTTTCTCCTGCTCAGTGGCTGGTGGGTTTGAACAGTTGCTCTTGTGTTAGCAACCCAACCTGTAACTCACGACTCCATCAGAGACAAAGACACACAGAGAGAGAGAGAGGGGAGAGAGGGAGGAAGAGAGAGTTCCACTCCTGGATCCCCTTGATTCCATCCACTCACAAGTGTTTTAGAAACACACACTTCTTCTCCAACATCTTCTCAGCTCTACTTCTTATAAACCACTACCACCTCCCAGATAAACTTCCGTCATTCTCATCGACAACACCCCTGAGACTTCGTGATCTTTGTTTGCAGTCCGGCCGATTCGAGGGGTGACCACACCTTGTGCCGAGCAGAACCGATTCACAGGAAGCTTAAGCCTGTCATCATTCAAAACAGATCGTCAGGCCCTCCGGATAGTCTTCCAAGGCCCCTCGGGGTGGATTCGAACCATCAACCTTCCATTTAGCAACAAAATGCTTAACTACTGTGCAACCCCGGGACTCCTCCTTAAGACCTCTGGACCCACAATTCTGATGAGAAGAGACCAGCAACCTTTCTCACATTTCTCAACACCTTACATCTCTCAGAACCTTCCCAGAGAGCCTTGCCCCAAGGGGATGTCATCTTCCTCTGCTCTGGGTCGCCCGGATTTCTGCTTCATCACTCGGCAGGTTTCTGCTGCTGCATCGGTGTTGTTCTTGGTCTCAAAACTCCCTAGGGGAGATCGCTTTCTTTCCACCTTGGTGTATTAGTTCTTGGTCAAGTTCTTCTCCTTCTCCAGAGAAACAGTAAGCTCCCCCTCACCAGCATTAGCATCCATAGCACTTTGAATGTGCTTCACCAGCACCATCGTGCAGAGGCACTGATTCTTCTCCGGGCTTCTGAGTCAAGGTCCCACTGTCACATGGATCGGAGGCCACTGAAAACACCATGGCCAGGTGCACCTTGGTCCTCAAAGTAACATCCTTGCTTTTCGACAACTTAAAGAGGTCTTGTGCAGCAGATTTGCTATCCAGAAGCCTGGAAAGTTTCTGTCCGAACTGAAAGAGAAGCCATGCTGGCCGCAGGGGTTGGGCTAGGAGGAGGGTGAGGCGAGTGGGCCACTGGCCCCTGGCTCCATGTATAAGCTGTGTGAGGTGAGACGGACAAGTGCCTTGTCTTTCATTTGACATCCTGTTTTCAACATTTTAAGGATCCCTACGGATTTTTTTTTTTTTTGGTATGTTGTCCATTATTTTTTAATTTAGGAGCCCTGGCTGGGTGCAGTTAAGCCCCCAGCTGCTAAGGGGCAGGTTGGCAGCGAGGCCTCACCGAGCAGCAGTTGGGGAGCCGGGCATGCTGGCGTGCTCCTGGAAAGACTAGCCGCCCTCGCCGAACCGTTGCCCCAGAGTTGATGCTAACTTGCGTAGGGTGACCCTGTAGGCCAGAGGAGAATTGTCCCATTGCATTTCCAAGGCGGTGTCCTTGGGGAAGCAGACGGCCTCATCTTTTTTTTTGGAGCTGCTGGTGGGTTCAAAGCACTGACCTTTCAGTTAATAGCAGGGTGCTTAATCACCAAGGACCCTCCAGGAGAGTTTAGTGCCTAGAAAACTCCCTGGGCCAGTTCTACGCTGTGACATGAGAGTCACTAGCGTCAAAATCGACTTGAGGGCACTTAACAACAGTAACAATTTCGATATATTAAAATATTGCATTAAAATCATCTGATGACTGGGTATTGGGCGTCCTGTTACATTTCTCATGTTAAGCTGAGAGTCTCACTCAGCTCACTCTAGGCCTGGCCCGGCTCCTGCTCTGTCTCAGCGCCAGGCCGGCGTCGCCGGCGTTCGTTCCGTGCCGGCACATGGCCGGCCTCAGTTAGAGTAGTGCTTTGCTCTCGCTCTCTTGAAATTCCTCGGTGTGTTTTGTTTTGTTTCGTTTTGTTTTCACAAGGGCCCTGCATTTTCCTATTGCACTGAGCTCCAAAAATTACGTAGCTGTTCCTGGTCTGCCAAATAAATGAGAGCTATGTCTGGGAGGCTGCCTTGGCCCTGTGCTTCCTCAGAACCACGAAAAACAAGCAGTGTAAATTGAGAACTTGAAAAACAGGTGGGCACCATCTCCCCACCCAAGAGGATGGATCGAAGAGGAAATCTGTTTATGGGATGAGGTTTTAAAAGGCGACCTGGAGCATTTAGCAAAGATGGAAATAAACAGCTCTCCCCTGAATCACATTAGGCTTTAGAAGAAATATTTTAACCAGCTCCAGTCAAAGGAGGCCTTGAATCTGACCTTGACTCGACTTGGTGAGTAGTGCTGCCCCCATGGCCCCTCCCGACTCCATGTGGATTTCTCTAGGGCAAGGCTACTTCAAAACAGGCTTCCCAGCCTGCCTCACACGACGACGGGAAGGTAGGTAGAGAACTATCAGGTTTCCTTCTGGGCCTGGCTGGGTGACACCCCCCTTCCTCAACCTGCAGGCAGTCAGGAGGCACCAGCTTTGTTTTTATATCCTACAGCGTCATCCCTAGCCAGATACAAACCCACATCTATTACCACCAGGGGAAACGAATTGCTGAGCCAGCCACAGAAAGGGCCCGGGTCAGTGGTCAATTCCCGTCATGTGCAGACACAAGCAGATGGGTTTAAGCCAGGCCACAAAGCCTGTGCTGGGGCCCAGCAGGCAACCTACAGCTAGCGGAAGAAAGAACGATGGGCCCCATCGCTCCCCCCGCCCCCCCATGGGTTGCCTGTGTTCCTACTGTGGGGAGGGGGGTATTTTCCCTACCCTCATGTCTACTCTCCCTTTGTCCCTACTCCACGGCCCACCCTTGTTCCTGCCCCTAGCCTTTCTTGTTTTTTTGGTTTTTTTTTTGAGAATTTATGAAGCTTTCCCTTGGGTTGTTTTTTT